TATTGCAAGATCTGACAATTATCTAGGCATTTTAAGGTCAAGGTGAGTATGAAGCTAATAAATTTATTAGCGAAATTAGCGATTCAGGAAATCTCATTGAGATGAGAGAACATGGGAGCCACGTTTTCAAATGCTTATTTCTACTCAAATTATAGCTCTAAGGTAGACAAACCAACGAATGCCTCCAACTTAATTAGTTAGTAGTCAATCTAATCTTTTCAGTAAATTAGTTATTATACTTTTTGCTGCAGGGTGCTAGATTATAACCATATGCTTGTATAAACACATTACAAGATTCTTAGTAGCAGTTGTCTAATTCAATTATGTCAATTAAAGCAAGTAAAGTGAAAAAATCTTCCAAACATCTGTGGGCACGGAATGCTAAATGCTTATATGAGAGGCTACGTAGAGATTTAAATATGAACATGTAAGGAAAGGCTTAGTTCGAGAGTAACCAAAACATTTTTTGCTCAGGCATTTTGCTACGATGAAAGGTGGAGAAATATTTGCAGGAAGTGGCAAAATTTAATTTAAAAATGTTGCATTTGAATTAAACGTTCGTTATTGGCCGAAATCGTGAATAAATTATAATCATATTTAGGTTCTTAATAACTTATACTTTAGGCCATAGACTCAATTAGTGTTAAGTAAAGCAAATCATTATAATGTATGTAAGTTAGCACTCCACACTTTTTAAAAATATCATATGATGCATTAACATTATACGATACAAAGTAAAATAACACGACACCTATCAAATCGCTGAAACTGTGTCACGTTGCGACAATCGTAAGTTTAGCGTTACCAGTGTGACGCTTGAAAAATTAGGCGATTTTCGTGAATTTTTTTAACAGAAAGTACGCGATTGAATATTTCGAACTTCTTTGAGCGTAATAAGGTTTATTTTCAGATATACTTTTTTTTACAAAAATGTTAAAAAATAACGGAGTTATGGGCTGTCTTTGGAGGTGCCAAAAACTCATAAAGGTTATTAAGGTTGGAGGTATTTCCTATACAATGACTTACGAGCTTTGAAAAATATCAAAAATTAACAAAATGGCGTAATTTTGATAAAAAAAAAAACGTTTTTTAGGTAAAAAATGGTTGTGTTTTTAATGCATTTTCCACCAATCAAAAAGATAGGTTATTGTATAGTAAATATATTCAAAAATACTTAGTTTTAATTTGAAGTCGATAGGTCAATTTCTCGTTGAGTTATGATGCCAGCAATTTTGAAAAATGTCGTTTCGAGAAAAACGCGGTTAATGTTTTACTTATATATGTTTTCACCTCGGAGCGGTCGCTCTTTAGAACGCTGCCATCCAAAAACTATACGAGATACGCTCTTCCCGATTTCACAGAATATTTATGGAAATATAAGCTATCGAAAAAGTAAATAAAACAAGAAAAAACGTTAACTTCGGTTGCACCGAAGCTAAATACCCTTCACAGGTGCATTTCTATTAGTAACTATGTGTTCAGTTTGTATGGAAGCTATATGCAATAGTAATCCGTTCTGAACAGATTTTTTTTGGAGATTACATTATTACCTTAAGCAGTAATCCAAATTTCGTGAGGATACGCGTCAAATGCCAAAGTTTTCCATACAAGCCAAGCTATATGCTATAATAATCCGATCTGAACAATTTTGGAGACTACAATGTTGCCTTAGAAAATAATTTCTACCAAATTTCGTGAATATAGCTTGTCAAATGTGAAAGTTTTCCATACAAGAACTTGATTCCGATCATTCATTTTGTATGGCAGATATATGTTATAGTGGTCCGAAGAGAAAATGACGTTTGCAAAATTTCAAAACGATATCTTAAAAACTGAGGGACTGGTTTGTGTATAAACAGACAGACAGACGGACATGGCTAAATCTACTCAGTTCGACATACTAATCATTTATATGTATATATACTTTATAGGGTCTCCGACCCTTCCTTCTGAGTGTTACAAACTTCGTGACAAACTTAATATATCCTGTTCAGTCACACTGGTATAGCCCCTTAAGTATAAATTCTTCCAAGCAGGAATCAGCGTGATAACGTTGCGAAAATAGCTCGATAACCAAAATTAAAGCTACGCGACTGGGTAGTCTGCAGTACCAACAGGAGTAGGAAAAACGACAACCCCGCAACGAGGAAGGAAATCCTATGGTAAGCTGGAAAATACTATTTCGATTGCCAAAATGCACCGAGGTCAACAAGCAACATGTACCAACTCTAGAGAAAATTTTACCATGAATAGTCTTTTTAAACAAATTCATTGCCGATATTTTTATTAACAACGACTCTGTAAGAGTAAACGGACACTTATTATTTTATACACCAACGCAATGCAATTTATTATTATGTATCAAATGTAAAATATTCTACAACATAGAAACGATATCAAGCAAATCATTACAGACAACGTGCATCCTTCATCTGCACCAAGCAATGTAGAAAAATTAGTCTCGGCGAAGATGCTGAAACAGCTAACAATATATAAGAAGTAAGCTTGGTTGAATTAGCAAATAGAACGAAACATATAATCAGCATCCCCTTAATTACTATCCAAATTGTGATCACCCTAATTCTCGGAAATTACCTTGTAAAATGCACAGAAGATCGATCAATTAAACTACTATCATACCATTGAAAGTAATATAACAGGAGACTAAACAAATAGCTGAAACTGCGTTATGCACAGAACAAAACTGTGAAAAGTGCAAGGTCAGCGAATTCCATCCCCGTTGAAGCGACAAACGTAGTTTTAACTTTAAGTATAATTAATTGTAGCTTTTAGTTCTAATTCGGAATTCCTTCAGATCTGCGTGGTCGGTTTAGCCATGTCCGTGCGTCTGTTTGTATATACGCAAACTAATCCCTCAGCTTACACTATAACTACACTAAACTGACGGATCAAAATCAAGTTATTAGAAAACTTTTTATTCGTCGAGAAAGCTTCATGCATCTCGGCATGTATTATTGTCCAAAGACTATAGTCTTTGAAGAAGTTTTTAAGATCGGACCATTTAGCGTCTAGATGCCACATAAAACGACCAACCGATCAAAAAAAATGTATTTTATAGCTTCGTTAAAATGTAGTTAACGTTTTTCTTCCTTTTACTAGTGGATGAAATAATCTCAATATTCTCGTTTATTTTTATTGAGCCATTTTGTATTGAGATAAATCATTTCGCCCTATAATAAATAAACGAGTAAATACATATATCAATATATACGGTGAAAAGTCAAGTTAAAAATTGGAAATCACTACATTAGACATCTCGGAGTTAGGAGAAGGCATTTTTCGTTCAACTAAAATACGCTCGAGAAAGTGTTTTTACGCAAGGTATAATTAAGTTCACGATAATAATACAAATTATTAAAAGTACTTTATGATGGCTTTGGTAATTCATGGAACTATTTCCCTAATTTTCGCCACCTTGTAGTATAGTATACCCAATATTATACGTTCACTTAATTTTCAAGACATGCTATTGACTGATATATACCGCAGTGAATATCCTTATATCCATTTGATTTTGGTGAAACACCTTTAAGACACTATTTGATCAAAGGCTACACCGATTGAGATATTTTGATAAAACTTGTTACACATACTTGTTGGCACTATGAATATATTGATATTACCAATGGGTGGAACCACCAAGCTCACAAAACGTCATTAATCGAAAAACCTATAAAGTGCCATAAATAAGATCCGCAATAAGATACAAGAAGTTAATTTACGAAAATGAATCCCATTAGGAATGGGCATATGTGGCTTGAAAACTTTTAAGAAAGAATACATGGTTTAGCTCCTTAATAAGTTTACTGTGCTTATCTTCCAAACCACCAAAGCTATATAAACCAAATTTCGCTCAAAACAAATCTTTTAGGCGCCTCCTACGACAGTGGAAAAAGTAATTATAATCCTGTCCACTCATCATATAACTGTTATATTGAAAAATAAATAAGTGTGTCAGAGACATTCGACTTTAGAATCAAGATGGTGTAAAGGGCTTCATAAGAGCGGGTATCGAAATGAGCCAATGAGCGGGGCACCGCCCACCGCGTTGCTTCTCTCTTACCTCTTTCACTGCTCTTTTGATATGTGATGGTAGTAAGTTGTGACCTGTTGCTAGGCCAACAACCATTCTAAAGTCTTTTAGAGAAATGAAAGTAAAAAGTATGAGGGTTTTTCGTCGGAGACCTTTCATATGATCTTGGCGATCCGGATCCGGAAACCAATATATTTTTAAAAGTCCTTCGACTTATATATATAATGATATTTATGTTTCCTTAGTTGCTAGCTATTTCAGGAGCTTTTCTAACTACAAAGACTTCCGCCTTGGACATATAGCATTATGGCGGAAGCTTGAAGTGTCCTTTGAAATCTAATTAACCTTTCTAGTGCAACCGTCCGAGTAGTTCTGCCTGTCTCGTTTTGCAGAGAAGACCGCTATCTAAGACCAATGCATGAGACTAGGTGATAGACCCCATGTACAGTACCTTTTTCTCTCTCTCTTCTACGCTGAGTTTCGTCATAAGTCTCCTAAAATACTCTCAATTACCTGGTATACTTCTTAATTGCTAACTCAACCGTGTTGAGCTACGATGGTTTACATTTTTTTTGTTTTTTTTTTTACCTCCTTCTGAAGAGTACCAAATTCATCTTATCGTCATCTACCTCTCGATTAGCCGATATCGCTGTCAGTTTGTTGCTCTCCTTTTAAATTATTGCCACAGTGAGGTCATCTGAGAAGAATTTAATATGAATGCATAGTTTTCTTTACCAGGATAGCTGTTATCGCCTTGCTTGTTATTCTCGAGAAGTTTGTGTAATATGTTAAGTTTAGTCTAGATACCATGTTTCCGAAGGCTATCCATACTTAATGTGTTGAATACGCGTGGTCGGGATCTTTTAGTATCTATTAAGTTTAAAGATTTAATTTATTACGACATATGTATCTAATTCTCAAGTTATGCACTACAAAATTGTTTTGTCATTTATTTTCAACAAAAACTTATTAAAATACAAAATATAACTTATCATTAAATCAAATTGATACCAAATATATCTGTGGTCTCTACAATAATTAACAATATTGAACACTTTATTGTTCAATCAACCTCCAGCTTTCGGAAACTTCCTATAACTCCAGTATCAATGTCGCTAATAATCTTTACTGACGGGCTGTTACAGTCTTTAGTTAATTCAATGCACATTTCATCGAGAGCTAATATAGAATCTCGTTTTTGGATGAGTTTCAATTTAAAGTCCTTTATAATATCAGCCATGGGAATGCTACCCCCATATTCTTTTGGAAGAATTTCAGGTTTAACTCTCTCTTTCAATGCATCCACCGATTTGTGTATCTTTCAAGAAATATAATTATTACGAGTTACATAGTAGTAGAATTAGAACTTACAGTTATACGGTTTTTAAGTTTTTCGCTAAGTAATGAAACTCCTAATTCGATAATACGATTTGCAAAGTGTGGGATATTAACAAAATGTGTTGCTTTATGACGCATTGGAGTAGAATTCTAAAAAGAAAACTGAAATAAATTTCACAATCGGCCGACAAAAACAATTACTTACTTGTATACATTTTACCATATTTCTTAAATCTGACAGAGACCAAAGACTCGCAAATCCCATATTTATACCACTTTCATCGTTAATATATACATAGCCAGCCACTTGTGACGGCTCATCATCTAATAAACCTTCACATATCAGTGAGTGCACACGCGCCATCTGAACAGAAGTGTATTTATATGGATCAAAATTTTTTGCCACCGATAGTATTATTTGTCTGCCGTCATCATCCCTTTGTGGCAAGGGTACTAGGTACCCGTTATCGAAAATTTCGCTGATAGTTGGGTCTAAAATATCAAGGTTTGAAAACCATTGTGGGAATAATTGACGTATAGTTAAATAGCGTTCAAGCATTTCACATGCATCCGGAACGGAGAATTTCTTTGTTCTTAAAAATCGTAGAAGGAAAAGAGTATCTGTGCGACACTTTTTGATGCGCGGGTGTTTCGATATCCATTCACGAAACTGATGTAGTGCTTGGTGGCGTATGTTATCATCTTCGTGTAATTCTTCTTTTGCTATCAATTTCAGCGCTGGACTTAAAGAACAGGTATAAGGATCAAAAGATTCAGTGGATTCGCATTCGGTAGTTTCGGGTATGGGCTTTGTTTCGGCTTCCAACACTGAAAAATCATATACAAATATTAAGAAACTTCAGTTACACCACCTATATGTACCATAAGAACATATTTGAGTAAGCATCGAAAATTTTATGCTGTTGCAATTTGCGAAACTCAAACTTAGTAAAATATTTCTTGATGCTGGTAACAAATTATATTAACCCAATAAAGAAGGACAAAGTTCGGATGTAATTTCATATTGTCACTTAACAATATGATATACAAGTACTATACGTAGTTTAGCTCAAGGGTCAGGACCAATTTAATTCATATTCAGCGTTAAACCAAATTTTGTGTAAGATAACATTTCGACCAACATAAACAGCGTAATGGTTAAGGACATATTATTACCTCATTTGATAAATAACTCACAAAATGACTGACATATACAGCATAAGGTCTGCTGAAATAACGAAGAGTAATATATGTATGTAATATATGAGAGATGGAGTAGTTCGTAGACTAAAATTACAATTTTTTTTATTATTAGATGCACAACTAAGTTCTCACTGTTTGTTAATGGATGACTCCAGCAGTTATTGGTGATCAATTTTTGTATATCCAAAACATCATAAGCTTAATCTATACATTTGAAAAAGAAACTGCGTTTCCACATTAGCGACTTTCTTATAAGTCATATACTTTTGTTTGTACGAATATGACCGATTTTTTGCACAAATAATCGTCATTTGAGGGAGGTGTTGATTTTCTTCTCTAAATCAAAGAAATCGGCGGCTGAAGCGCATCGGGAACTCAAAAAAGTTTACGGAGGTGCTGTCACAAGGCGTGACGTAGTCGATTTTATCGCTTCAAAGACGGCGATTTCGATATTAATGACGATCTGCATGAAAGAAGTTATTTAAAGTCGGCTACATGCGCTGGTACTTGGGTTCCTTATCATCTCATTACCAGAGGAGGTACGAAAAAAGTACTGCTTCATGACAACGCTCGGCATCACGTTGTCAAACCCGTGCAAACTTGCATGGAAATGCTGAAATGGGACCCGCTATGCTCTCCACATATTGCACCATCCGATTATTTTTGGTTCCGATCGATGGCACATGGTCAGAAGCAGTTCCACCCCAAGACCATATGAAAAAATTTATTTTTGGATGGCATCACAAAATGAACAGTTTTGCTAGAAAAATGGGAAAAAGACTACTTCGAATAATTTTATTATAACCATTTCCTTACAGTAAAATTATTAAAGGAAAAAATTATTTTTTTGTACTCTATAAATCCAACCGAAGTTTGTGGGGACATATTTTTTTCCATTTTCGGCACAGCGATATATTATTTCCAGAAAAACATTCGATCTAACATTCATTAAGATATGCAGATGAACCGATTTATTCGTATAAATTAAGTATATGTCAGAAGGGGAATTATTGGCCCGATTTTGAACCGCTTTTGGATTCACGACACACCATTGACCAATATATGTATATGGTATAAAGTCGACCAAAAGTTTGAAAATCTTTATATTAAATATATAACTACTAGGAGAAGTATTAACTCTTTCCTCATAAAAATTAAAAAAATCTTTCATAAAATACAATCTGTGTTGCGGAATGCCAATTGTATACCTAAAATTGTAATGTTGACATTGGGCACAGCTGCTTTAAGATATCGACAACAATTTTTTTTGGTATAGAAGTTATTATGCTTTACAAAACCCGTTTTTAATTTAAGAAGGTCGGTGGCTATATCTTATACACTTGTAGTTGGTTTTGATAGTAATTGATATGGGTTAACATGGTCGCTGCCCTTGGCTTAAGAGAAAAATTTCTGGTGTATATTAGTGGGCAAGAAAATAAAAATTGTTCGATTTTATTTTTAAATGTACGATAACTCCATTATTTATGTAGTTATTTAATGTCTTGACTAATTGAAAAGTTCTTCAGTAATTTTTTCTTTAGGAAGTTACTACGCTTATTGTAGTTCTGAAATTTAACGAGAGAGTGGTCAACATACTAAATTTTTTTCGTGAAATTTCCATTTTAAAGTTAATGTAATAAAATAAGTATAATAAATAACTTCTTAACGAGAAATTTTCCTTTAAAAAGGCAATTTATTTTTCAGGCAGTGGCGGGAATTTTAGATACATATATACCAGTAATTCTAAACATAATTTTTAAATTGTATTATCACATTTCAAATTTATTCACATAACACCAAGCAATGCTAAGTTTTTTTTTTAATTGTAGGTTTTGTAAGAGTTGGCATTGAATGCATTCACTTTCACTTAACGCCAAAAAGTGTGTCATTCAATACTTCACTTATTTACACTATATTTACATACGAACGCAATGTTTTTGTATATCAAATAATTATACTGAATCCTAGCATGTATATATATATATATATACATATATATATATGATAATATAAATTTAAAGTTTGGTAGCATGCACTTGTTTGTAAATAAAAAATAATTTAAATGTAATAATATAGTGTGTGTTTCAAGCCCCATAAAGTATTATGAATTTGGTAGCAGAAAATATGCGTGTTTGTATAATTGTATATTGATGTGGGCTGTATAGTAAATTGACTCCAATAATTTTTACTTCTGTTACACATTTCAAAAATTGATTAAATACCTATCTTTCATTTAATATATACATACAATACGTATTTAAGATTATAATCAATATTTCTTCGAAAATAGGTCACTCTTGGGTTTAATTCGGTAAACTCACTTATTATGTAATAATTTGTTAGATTTATAACCAACGTTTATTTTTGGTTTTAAGAGGACAACACTGTTGTTTAAATAGCAATCCAAATGAAACTAAAGTCTCTTTTTGACTTTAAATTTGTTTGAACATCATATGTATATACATACATATGTAGTTATATGCTCATAGTGTTACTTCATACACATACTTAAACTTAAGTCGAGTATATACCATATATTACCAAATTTACATGTTTTATATACTGAAGATGCACATTTGTGCGCATGTATGCATGCCATATTAATTGTTGTATCTCTGCAACTAAATTCCGTCAGTAATATCATGTTTGTATTTCGTATACGTGAACTTACATAGGTTTGAACACACACTATTACAATAATTTGATTAAGTTTGCTTGGTAATAATAGGTACGCAGGCAAACAAAGAAGTAATCTTCACTTATGCATAACACAAAACGTCACTATAAATTTTTTTATAGATAAATACCAAAAATATTTTTGTTTTACATCAAGTTAGAAAAATATTTAGTCATCTCATCTTCAACGATTACGAGGGCGATTGGGATTGCAAGTCGTATATGCACTATTATTTTTAAACTCTGAACAGTGTTTATTACGTTTTCCACGGAGTTTGTTTCCCACCCCAGAAGGAAATATCGGAGACCCAACAAATTATAAAATCTCCGATATCGAAATACTATAGCATATACTATTATACGATGATCGATGAGAATTAAATCTTTGTATGGAAACATTTTTTTTTGACGAGATCTTACCTGGCGTAGATAATATTTTATAAACTTCTATCTGAAGAAATTGAAATTGGACCACTATAGCATATAACCGCTATACAAACTGAATGATCACAATTATATTCTTGTATGGAGACTTCTCCAGTAATCATATGGTAATTTGAGGTAATTTGAGAGTAAATGAGTGCAACTCAGTGCTTCAGGCTAAAATTGTCGAACTAACAGAAGTCGCAATTCAAGCTCTCCAAAGCTCCAACACTAAGTCTCACTGCGTTAGGTTATGCAAGCAAGCAATAACTAAACTTTGAGRTTGTAATTCGCTTAATATCAGCTGGGTATCCCGACTTATAGGAACGTAGAGTTGGACGAGTTGACTGGGAACACAATTCCTCTAATCTGCCCCAGACCATTGATTCAATATAGCCACCTCAAGTGAGATATATGCTATATGTATAACTTCAACCAAAGAGGCTAAATTTTATATATTAGGTATATGAGGACAATATCACCCATTTTATTCATTAAACATAAACTTATTATATCCATTATTACACGTTTATTTAATTTTGCCAAGATATCTCACATATTGGCCGGTATATAGATATAGTACCCGATCTATAAGGTATTGACCCGATTTAATCTATTTTTGACTCAACGATACAGTATTATCATTGAAATACTCACTCTAAATTTCAATAGTAGATCTTTCACATTTTCCGATATCCTCGATAAGCAAAACGGTATCTGGGAGCTTAGAGAGTTATGGTCAGATGTTGAGATTTTTACCTACTGAACCTTCTCAAACTTTTCGGTTAAAACATTTATTTCGGGAGATCGTGTATATCCGAGATTTTCCAGATGATGAGCCTTGAATTCGTGTTCGAGCCAATTATGGTGTACATTCTCCTTTATCAGTGTCCTCTTCAGGTCTCTGGAGGTGGCTTTACCTTATCGTCGTGTGGTATATAGAGCGAGATTAGTTAGAACTCTCTGCATCGTCTTTCACCTTAAAAGGTCTTGAGATGAGATTGACTGCTTTTGCGGGCCGAGGGCCTCCTTCCTGCATATTTGCCTCCAGAAATGCGAATTCCATGCCAGCAAAACACCCTTCTCGATCCTCTTTCAACAATTGCTCGAAACTAATGCCGATATACTCCTTATTTAAGTCTATCAGCGCTTACCGTATGATTCATCGGTTTTCTCGAGCATGTTCACCCTCCTGTCGTAAGAGGGGAATGATGAGTTGCGGTATCTAGCTTATCTCTTTTTATCCATGGCTGAAAGCCAATGATCCATATTCACTATATCCTCAAATTAGTCTCAATCCAAACTTCTCCAACCCTAGATAATGCATCCTTACATTGGAGTCCCCCTTTTGGGACTTCTGCCTCTTCACTGAAGGTTGAACTTTAGCGAGCCCGTAGCTTGGCGTCCCCCTGGAAAGGTTGACATGCGACGATCCGACTTCAGTTTACGCGCTGAAGTCGCCTGTTTGCTTCTCCCGACATGGTTCCATATTCACTATATCCTCAAATTAGTCTCAATCCAAACTTCTCCAACCCTAGATAATGCATCCTTACATTGGAGTCCTCCTCTTGGGACTTCTGCCTCTTTACTGAAGGTTGAACTTTCGCGAGCCCGTAGCTTGGCACCCCCCTTGAAAGGTTGACATGCGACGATCCGACTTCAGTTTATGCGCTGACGTCGCCTGTTTGCTTCTCCCGACATGGTTTAGAGTGTCTATATCAGATCAAGACTATATACTACTATAATTATTTTAGGCTTCAAATACCAATCAATCCCCATTAATTAAGAACTGTTAGTGTATAAAGGAGAGGTGAAAGGCTTTAGCAAACATACAAATGTAATTTTGTAACTATTAAGAAAAGACATAGACTTTTTCTGACTATCAGAACTTTCAACGGGTGACCTCTATTTTGTGCAAGCTATCAGTGAAGTGGGGGAAGTTGTCTTAGCATGGCCCTACTTCCCCAGTTAGTTGATTGAGGTGCCACCTGAAGTAGTAAAAAGACAGTTCGACATGTTGTAAAAATAGCAACCGGAGGATTTAAGGCAGAACAGGACCAGGTAATGCTCTTAATTTTTAACTAATAAAACTAAGCTTTTAAACTAATAAATATAATTCTTTGATGATCGAACAAACTCTCGGCACTAAGAAAATCAGGAAGCAGGTTTTTCAACGAAGTAAGAGTAGTACGGCTACAAAACTCGCGTACCCAGCCATTGGAGTAGATGGAATATTCCAGCTTTACTCCAGAAGGAAGAAGAGTACATCCTGATATACTCAGTAAAACTAAAGTCAGACAGTTTAGCGCTGACTTATATGTCAAGTAGAAAACTGTAATAGTTATCATAAATCGATCATATTTCTGTAAAAAGAGAAACTACAATACACCTATCTGGATATACGTATATATTAAAGAACGCCTGGGTTCTGAGACGAGAATTACTAAAATAAATAAGCGATGCATAGTGCATCAAACTGGTGCTTTTAATTTACAAAATTAAAGCTAAGATCATTCTTTTTACGGGAAGAAGATCATTCTAGTTATAAGCACTTTAACGCTCAATGGGGAGGAAGTGCCTAATGTATAGAAAAATCTCATGGAGAAAATTTTTATCTGCGAATCACAATAAAATGCATCGATTTCTGAAGCAGATTGTTTTTGGTCTTTTTTAAGTTTTAACGTTTGATCACACAAATCAAACATTTGGTCCTTCGAACCGGATAAGTAGCTCGATCCAAAATTGTAAGACCTGTATGAAGAAAATACAGGCAACATATGTAAAAGTTCTATTATATACGTATGTATAACATATAGGCAATATAAAGCACTGTTATTTACGCAGGCAAATTAATAAGGACATTGTAAGAAGGGTCCATATTCCCGCATAGGCACAACAAAGTCAACCAGGCGACCAAAACAATTAGCTCCAACGATTTTTTTAAAGAATAAAAACAGTTTATTAAAAAAAATTGTTAAAAATGTGGAACACTGTGGACATATTATAAAGGAAGGCGATCTGTGCGTAGAAGATATTAGATTTGAGGAAATAAATATAGACCATATATAGAGGAGAGCTGAAGATAATAGAAAGCGAGTCCAGGAGCTTAAAACGAGCTCATAAAGCAGGTAATTGAAAAAAGATCGGAAAGAATTCGATTGATGATGCAGTACGGACTCCAAAAGCCAAGAATGAATATTTCTCAGCTTGAATAAAGTCTTAGTTTCCTCCCCATCAGTGGTAAGGATCTAAATAATCTTATTTAAGTTTTAACGTTTGATCATACAAATCAAACAGTTTGATTTTAAAAATCAAACAATTGGTGATGAAAAGCCATTATATAAATTTTAAGTGAAAACGGCGGTGTGCTAAGCCTGGGTTGGCAGACAGTTATATTATATTAGGTTGACAAAAAAGTCTTGTGGTATTTTTATGGAAGTTTCAATTCATAAAATTTTTTTTGATGACTCACGCCCGGCTCTTGACCGATGCTACGGGTGCTACTATGCCGGTCTCTTGCGACTAATTCAGCGATTTTATCGCAATTTTCGACGACAGGCCTTCTGGAGCGTGGCGCATCTTCGACCACCTCTACACCAGAACGAAAACTTTGAAACCATCGTTGTGCGGTGGAAATGGAAACTGTATCGGGTCCATAAACTGCAAACAAACAAATTTTATTGGCGGCTTGAGATGCATTTTTGTCGTAGTAGTACTGTAAAATATGCGGTATTTTCTCTTTATTTTGCTCCATGTTGCGATTAACTCACGAAAGACTTAAAAGAAACGACAATCAATCAAACACGTGTTAACGCGTGAAATGAGCTTTCCGAAAAAGTATAGCATGACCCGATGTGACTAATAAAACTAGAGCGACGCGCTCTCAGCGCCAACTTGCGAAAATACCGCAAGACTTTTTGGACAACCAATATTATATTCTGCTATGCACTTTAGGGTGATTCAAAAAAAATTTTTTGGTTTGATTGTTTGGTACTCTGAAAAATGAGTTCCTAGACACCTCTAAGGAAGCCTCTCCAAGAATGAGTTCTTAATTGTAACGGAAAGGTCCTCCTACTTACAATTTTCTATTTTTCTTATTATCATATAGAAAGTTTTATATCTCGCTTCCAACTACTTGAAAAAATATCGTGTCTCTTAGATTTTGTAAGAAATTGAATGCTCTGCAAAAAAAGTCTGTACGAGTGTTTCGTAAACCCAACCGTTTAAAAGATATTAACAGTTACAGTTTGATTATTTTTGGGAAAATTTTTTAGTTGTTATGAATTCTATAACTCAACGAACT